GTGCAAATAAATGTATCAACAAGCTATTTGGATATGTTAATTTAAGATAACTTGTGAAAGAAAAGCAAAAAAGATACAGTTATTTTTATGGATACACGTACTGGGAAACTGGGCAAGGTAGAGTAAATTATTTAAATGTGCAAGAATGTTCCTCTGGTAAAATGAATGCAGCAGGAGATGAAGATCAAGGTGCCATGTGCATGTGTGGTGTTGTTGAGAGGATTGGGGATGACAGCTCTTCATTTTGGTGGGATTAGTGCCAGAAAATGGATTTTCCTGGGTAAATGACAACTTTCCCATATTTTACAATGCTTAATTAGTCAATTTTTTTAGTGTGGTTTTTGTAATAATTTTTGAAGTTGTAATAATCTCTTAAGAAATTATTACGGAGGGTAGCCATCTGTGAAGGTACACATGGTCCAACGACAAGCACAGATTTCAGAATAATTGTGAGAACCACCATTTTGTGGCAAAATGGAATTAATTTTATTTCTGTGTGTTGTTTACAGTGTGTTTATTGTGGAATTTTGAATCTCATATGAGTTGTTATCCCTTTAACCAACACTTTAACAGCTGCCTCAAACATATTGTGCAGACCTAGGTGTTTCCAGGGAGCAATTATCATATGGTTTTGTAGAAATATCTCCCAAAACTACAGAAATATCATCAACCAACTGCTGACATCTATGGCCATAATATAGGAAAGGGAATGGTGCTTACAATATAAAGAATTGCCATTTTAACAAACACCAATAAATGTAACATGCTCTTTACTGGTACAGTGTATTAGATTTACTGTGAAATTGCAGTGGACCTTTCATCAGGTTATGCGATAATGCAAGTAGCCTTACATCCAGTTATAGGTTTTTGCATCAAAATTAATCAATGTCTAGACTTTGAGGGTAATGCTGATAAACATTCAGCTGCATTCTTCTTTGTCTGCTGGTTACTGTGAATGGCTTCAATGTAGTGTATCAGTTTGTTATTTTTAGTAGTGCAAATATAATTTATTGTTTTTGTCAGTACAACTTACCTTATTACAGCAGTCTTTGCCATTTTGTCAGTCTGTTTCTAGTTTAATGATACATTTTAAACAGTGTGACAATATACTTGTGGTACCATATTGAACTTTGATATTCTGCTTTTATTCCAAGTTGTACTCCTACCATTAAATGAATTTTATTTCCTGGTCCAATACAATGCTGATATTAAATGTTGCTACATAATTAAAGGGAAATTAGCTATATCTGAGAGACATTGGAAAACTATGAATCTGGAAAGTGCCAAATATATTGAAGTATGCTGATACTACTACAGTGTCACAGTATTGAGCTCAGGTGAGTAAAAGTCCATTAATAAACTGACATCTGATGAAATATTCAGAGAGTAAACAGACTGTAAATCTTCAGGGAAAAACCAAGTCATTAAATATTAATTGCTACAGATGTCTTCCTTTGAAGTTATAAGGTTATTTGATTACAATATGTCACGAAGGGTAGAATGTGTCTTATGTCAATAGTATACGGTTGAATAGACAGGTTTTTTGAAAATATTGGTGGTTCTGTTTTTGTAGGTATTTCAAAATTATTTAGTTTGTTTTGTGTTATTGAGGTTTTTAAGAAGTCACTAAGGAAGTCCAACTTATCAATTAATAATTGCAGATGTGCCATTCTTTTATGATTTTTTAAAGTGGTGCATAATATATAGCATATTAAAGATAATTTTTAAAGTTTTTTATGATTTGTACTAGTAGGTTCTAAAAAGAGGATACTCAATAATAGAACAGGTAATATTTTCTTTTGAATAAGTGATTAGATTTTTTTGGGGGGGGATGGGGGCAAAGACTTGATACAGCAGAAACTGTGATAGCTAGTGAATTGCATGTACAATGCCATGTCTACATTTATAAATTAATACCATAATGGATAATGGTGTTATTTGGAAGCTCTGATATTAGCTGCAGATTCATTGTATAATTAGTGCTGCTGTTTTGAAACCCTTTTTCAATTCATGGATGTTGTTTATTGAAGTGACTCTGCTTTTTATGCCTTTATATGGTTCACATTTATATCTAGTTACACCTACATCTAGTCACACAGCTGCTGGGCATCTTCTGGTATACGTAGGTCATTGCTGGGCTCCTACTAGAATGTGCAGATGCCTTTTGCATACTGTACCCTCTAGTGCTTCCCTTTTTCCTGAAGTGACTTTCAACCAGTTCTGTATTGAATGTACACCTACATCTTTTTAAGATTTTAAAGAATGATGTCATAATCAAATATTAGGTCGATCTCCTTCCAAGTCAAAAATTCATGTTTCAAATTTGACCACTTAAATTATCAGTGAAATTGAAATGGTTTACTAGGAGGTGGTGCAGTAGGCTGGACATGTTTCTTTTCATTGTCATATTCAATCCACATTTGATCAATACTCCTAGCAAGTGGGAACAAAGGGATATCATATAATTGAACTAATGTAGCTTACTGTTATTAAACTACATTCTTGTTTGCTTTGCATTGTTTATATAATCATTAGCTACATGTACTAGGACTTTCATGCATACATACACACAAAATGAATTACTAGTAAGTCCAAGGATCGTAGGTCTTTACTTCAAGAGCCAAAAATATATTCTGCTTTTATGCAGAATAAATCATTAGTAGTTCTACTATTTCTTTCTTTTTNATCTGATGAAATATTCAGAGAGTAAACAGACTGTAAATCTTCAGGGAAAAACCAAGTCATTAAATATTAATTGCTACAGATGTCTTCCTTTGAAGTTATAAGGTTATTTGATTACAATATGTCACGAAGGGTAGAATGTGTCTTATGTCAATAGTATACGGTTGAATAGACAGGTTTTTTGAAAATATTGGTGGTTCTGTTTTTGTAGGTATTTCAAAATTATTTAGTTTGTTTTGTGTTATTGAGGTTTTTAAGAAGTCACTAAGGAAGTCCAACTTATCAATTAATAATTGCAGATGTGCCATTCTTTTATGATTTTTTAAAGTGGTGCATAATATATAGCATATTAAAGATAATTTTTAAAGTTTTTTATGATTTGTACTAGTAGGTTCTAAAAAGAGGATACTCAATAATAGAACAGGTAATATTTTCTTTTGAATAAGTGATTAGATTTTTTTTTTTTTTTGGGGGGGGGGGGGATGGGGGCAAAGACTTGATACAGCAGAAACTGTGATAGCTAGTGAATTACATGTACAATGCCATGTCTACATTTATAAATTATTACCATAATGGATAATGGTGTTATTTGGAAGCTCTGATATTAGCTGCAGAGTCATTGTAAAATTAGTGCTGCTGTTTTGAAACCCTTTTTCAATTCATGGATGTTGTTTATTGAAGTCACTTTGCTTTTTATGCCTTTATATGATTCACATTTATATCTAGTTATACCTACAACTAGTTACACAGCTGCTGGGCATCTTCTGGTATACGTAGGTCATTGCTGAGCTACTACTAGAATGTGCAGATGCCTTTTGCATACCCTCTAGTGCTTCCTTTTTTCCTGAAGTGACTTTCAACCAGTTCTGTATTGAGTGTGCACCTACATCTTTTTAAGATTTTAAAGAATGATGTCATAATCAAATATTAGGTCGATCTCCTTCCAAGTCAAAAATTCATGTTTTAAAATTTGACCACTTAAATTATCAGTGAAATTGAAATGGTTTACTAGTAGGTGGTGCAGTAGGCTGGACATGTTTCTTTTCATTGTCATATTCAATCCACATTTGATCAATACTCCTAGCAAGTGGGAACAAAGGGATATCATATAATTGAACTAATGTAGCTTACTGTTATTAAACTACATTCTTGTTTGCTTTGCATTGTTTATATAATCATTAGCTACATGTACTAGGACTTTCATGCATACATACACACAAAATGAATTACTAGTAAGTCCAAGGATCGTAGGTCTTTACTTCAAGAGCAAAAAATATATTCTGCTTTTATGCAGAATAAATCATTAGTAGTTCTACTATTTCTTTCTTTTTTGTGAATGGAACCAGTTTCCTCATTTTTAGGAGATTTCAGATCATGTTAACAGAAAACTCTCAGTCTTACTGATGAAACATAATTTTGACCCTAAATTCTTGGTATACAGGTTTAGTTGACTTTTTTACTGTATGACTTACATGTATATATAGTGACATTTGACACAAAGTTGGCAACCAATGTTCACCCACAATTAGTGTGAGGAAATTGTAATTTGTCTTTTATTATAATAATACTAAAATAACTTTTGCGGTTGGTGTATCTTTTAAGATTTTAAGGCCATATGAGGCCATGTTTATACAGTCTGGAAATTGTCCTCAACCTCACCCATAATATTGAATGGACTACCAGGCACTGGGCTGAACAAAAGATTCATTTTGCATTGGACAATAGGGTCTGCCACGCTGGTGCCCAGACCATGTCCTTTAAACTTCCTTATTTAACCTGTGTTAAATTGTTTTAGAAAATACTTTTGCAATAGCTTTGAAATATATTTGGTCTTTTGGTCTTAACATTAATTGTGGAAATTGAAATTATGCACTAGTAGTACCAGTTGCGCCTTAATGGCTGGAGAGAGGGGTAAGACAGAGTATTTACTAGCCATTGCAAACTTTTGCAAGGAAGTCAAGTAATGTATGATTTATATTTATGCGTGTGGTGCACATACATGTAGTTTAATACATTTTTTAATTGAGAGAAGTCAGTTTTTAAACACTATATTGATGATAATGGATCTTCTGTTGGGGTGTTAATTAAAAATAAGAAGTTGATGACAATTCACAGACTGAAACTACTGGTTCCAGTCAAAGCTCTAGATTAAGATAATGATAATGAAAACACTTTGTTTGAATTTCAGTCGTATATATATTTCACGTTTAACTATTTTTAAATAGTTAAATAAAAGTACTTAAAAGTAACTTCCCTGGAATCAACCTCCTAGGTTTTGTTTTGTTTAAAGACTAAAATTTGACTTTAATATTTTTCAGATGTGACAATGTGAGCAATGCCAGAAAATGGTAATGGAGGAAAACACGCCCAAAACACAGTCAACAGCAGACCAAAAATAAACAACAGTAATAATCATCATGTGAATGCTAGCAGTATTAAAGCATCATCTGGGTCTGGGGAACACCCAGTTTTCTCCTCCAGTTTTCAACGTAATCAGAATATCCTACAGCCATACCATGACATAGCTTCTAGTCTGTTTGGAGGAGGTGGGAATCATGATATCAATGAGGCCTTTCTGGCAGCTGTCAAGGTAAGTTTGTATTTGTGCATTGCTGTAGGTGAGAAGATGACTTATGTTTTTAGTTTTTAATTTCTTATAAAAATCTGCCAGTATTAGATGGATTTTAAAAATAATTAGGTCAGATGTGTTGATATGTTAAAATTCATATAGTCACTTGTTTTGTCCAACTTTTAAATTCACCTCAACATTTGTAAAAGGTCAAGACCAAGCAACCCTCAGCCTATTAAGGAGGTAATTAGATGGAATGTTGATTTTGAGTTTAAAAATTGGCAGAAATGGGCAATGTAGCACTTTCTGTGCCAGGGCTATGTTAGATAAATAATTTTAATTTTATTTATTTAAATTTAATGTGGCTTAAAAGCCAATCTCATATTCTAAATACTCATTCAAATTAAAAAACTTAGAGTGCATTCCCAGATATTTAGATCAATCCAGAGATTTAGATTTAGATCGACCTAACTCCCTGGGGGTTCACGCTATATTGCAGTCAGCTGAGCGCGCACCATAGTTAATTACCCCCTTACCTCTTTTAGAAGGTGGGACAGACGCTTAAGCTGGCTAAGCTGACAGTAATCTAGTGAGACTCCCCACAGGGATAGATCGATCTAAAATCTATGGGAATGGGGTCTTAGTCTCAAACTCAATCCTAGTTGTTCTTTCTCAAAAGATACACCATATTTACCTCCGTTGGCTTTTGCCAGTAGCTGTATACAAAGATAATAAAGTGCAAACTTTTGTACAACATTAAGCAAACATTCATATAATTTATAGCATATAATCTCTCTTCTGCACACAAAGATAAGGGATTAAACCTCTGTTTTTGCTTGCTACATTATCAGTAACGTGTTTGATAAGTATACAACGAGTTTAATTTTAGTGTCATGGGCACAATAAAATCAAGTCAAATTTAGTACAATGTTGAATACTAAAGTTAGTAATTTTTATTAGGATTGTTTAATCATAATTTATTTTATAGAATTTTATCAGTTTTGAGGTTAACATCAAATTTCTTGACAATAAAGAAATTTAATATTTGTTACTAGTACATAATAATAATAATAATAATAATAATAATCTTTATTGGAGAAATCGCAACCCGAAGGTTGAAGTTATACAATTACATATATGAATATTTAAGTCAAGGAAGCCTGGTTATTTTTGCACTGGTGCACTCCGTAGGCGGTCTCACCTCCCTGGGGAGCATACAGCTCGGCTGCCATATAAGGCGCTCATAGCTAATATAACATTTCTACCCTGCCTGACCAGGCCCCTGCTTCAACCCCTTTATGCTGAGTGCCAAGCGGGGAGACAGCAGGTACCGTTTATAAAGGACTGGTATGTCCCCGGACGGGATTTGAACCCACGTCCTCCCGCTCCGGAGGCGGACACTCTAACCACAAGGCCATCTGGTCGGTAAAATTTAATACATACAAAGATTTAAATATTTAAAGCAAGAAAATGGGGTAGTTGTCATTTATAAACAGCATTATTGCATCTAGCCATTACTGTACTTAAGTCAACCAGGTATGATGCCAGTAAGTGAAAAGTCTAATTATTGATTACTTTTTCAAAATTATGAAATCCCAAATAATAACTGTTGCTGATAGGATACATTTAGTAGGACATTCTATTAGGGCTCCAGGGAGAAAATGCATTAGGAGTGCTTCATGCTCCAATATAATGTACAATAATAATTATTAAAATATATTATTATTATTATTATTATTATTGTTATTATTATTAATTTCTTTGTGTTGGGAATCGGCAAATATCATCAGTGGAATGGAAACCAAAATTGTTAAAAAGGCGGAATGACTTAACAGTAAGGCTTAATTATAATGAAATGATGTACTAATAGTAATATATTATATTACCATGGAACTGTCATTTTGAATCATGCTATTATTGCCAATTTCTTATTGTGGTATCTTGGAACCATAAAACTTATGTACCATATGCATGAGTCTATGTTACTTGCAGATTAAAATTGACTAAGAAACAAATTGGTGTAAACTGTGGTTATTAGGTTTAATAGGCATTTAACATTCACCTTTGCGTGTGTATTTGCCATATATGCATATACCTCATGGAAACTGACATCGACTTTGAGTTGGATATCTAATTGCGAAATGACTTGTCATAAGTTTTCAGTAAACTGACTGGGTCTTTGCTTTGCCTCAAAGCAAATAAATTACCTATCCAGAGCTTTTTGGAACTTACTTTGCAAAACCAGTGCCATGCATAAAGGCAACATTCAAGTAGACTCTAAAACTTGTGGTCAGAGATTGCCTGATAGAAATTGCTCAAATATGACCAAAGTTAATCATAGGTCAAAATAGATATTAAGTAGTCTGCTGCCATTAGGATCAATTAGCACGACCCTACAGCTGATCAACAATACAGGAAGAATGTAGCCTGTCTAAACCCTGATTGATTAAGTATAATTTGGCACCTACTGAGCTTTGGCATATAATGACAATGGATAATACTGAGACAAAGAGGGCAGCTTAAAAAGGTAATTTTGAATCGAACAAAGACATGGCTGATGATGATGCAGGTGCAACGTGGAGAAATATACAGCAGTTGTCGTACAAGCTTCCATTCAGAAGCAAGAGTAGCAAACTTCAGGTCTACATGTAGCTGCCTGCCAGAAGGTGACTACTACTAAAAACAAGTGAGATGACTTTGAAATCATTGATATTGTATTGCAAAAACCTGCAAAGATCTGTGGTTAGTTCATCTGAGTCGCAAAAAGGAGTTTCAAGTAACTAGAGTTTCAAACACAGACTTAATTTACCACAAACATGATGTACAGAAAGGAAGCTAGAGCATGCTATGATGGAGATGAACTCTGATTCTAGCAATAGTTTAACTTATTTTTTTATGAGGACAACTAAAGAAATCGTGCTTTGATTGTCATATGGGAAGATGTTTGCGTTTGTAGGCAGAGACATGGTGTCATGTGGGACAAAGGTGTTGGCAGTCTATTTTAGGAGACAGAACAGGCAGAAGATATTAATTGTAAATGATCTGTACAACCATAATGCTGACCAATACTGTCCACTTGAAATAAGTTGGATAAGTTTCAATAAACTCAGTGTACCAGAGATGACCAACTTTAGGGCAGTTGACATTACGCAGAACATTTCTTTAGGAAATTGGAAAAATGTGATGAAATCAGTGTGCAGTGCACATTTTTACTGAATTGTCTGTGGGTTCAGCATGGCTATTCATTCATAAAATCTGTTGACATTTCTACAAGATTGCTGTGGTTTTATGATCTGAACACGTGCACAAAATGAAAACCTGCACACTAGCCTAGCAAAACCACTGATTATTAGATACTGAGTATGTCCTTAGCTTCCCCATTTACTGACTTTCACCTGGAGAGGAGGGTGAGAAGACCAGTTGTGGTTGACTTCACATTTAGTTGCTCTGTGACAGAGACAAACAATGCTATTTATAACCAAATTAAAAAATAAAAAGAACCCTGAAAGGAAGAGAATTGTAGAGCGAATAAAAGTGGGGATACTTTTCAGTACGTACTTCTACTCAGGGATTAGAGACTTCTATTTTATATATAAAGTCAAGTGTGATTTTTACTGATAAAAAAAGTATGGACTAAAATTAGTGTCCAGTTGAAAGTAAATTTTAACTGTGTACTAGTATGTGTCATACTGGGAAAAAGTGGATATTTAAACAATGAAGGACACTGGGGTTGAGTTAGGGGAGGATCTGCTACAAATTTCTAAGATACTGTGCAAGGTCAGCCCCCAGGCTCTGGCACTGGCTATCAAAGTGGCTTGTCTGGTAAGTCTAATGAAGTATGTTGAAGAGCCTTTAAATTTGGAATGAAGAGTGGGAATCTCAGTGTAGCAATTTACTTGAGTATGTTTTCTACAAAATGGAGAACCCACTACATGTGTACCAATATTTACTGAGTAATAATTTATAAGTGCTGAAAATGCATTCTGAAAAAATTCTAACTATCTCCCAGGAGATATAGAATGCTTCACTTGTTTCCCCAGTAGCTACGCGTAGACACAGGTAGAGAGGTATGGTTCTCAGTCTAAGCAAGATATAGATGTTATCTACCCCTATGGTACATGTTCATTCTGTTAAAGTTAAAAGAGCAAAATTGTATTTTATATGCAGACAGGTGTTTCATCAATAGCAACCACAAATACTTAATTGCAGCAGCTGGCATTGGTGATAGTTTAATAGGATTGAAGTACATCATATCTAACTAGTTGAAAAAGATTAATGGCATTAGATCATATTTATTTTGAATATTTCTAATAAAACTGAAGTGGTTTCAGTAAAGTTTATCAGATATTGTATAGCAATATGATACATACATGTATTGAGGTGTGGTTTGAATTCACTTAATTTAGAATTGTATAGACTTATAAGTAAATTGTACAGTAAATATATATAAATAATAATAAAAACTTTGTTTTGGAAGCCCCATAAAATTAAAGAAATGGATCAATGTTTATATGTGCTCTAAGAATTTGGAAATGTACAAGGAGGACCATAAGACAATCCATGATATTGATTTATCATGAAAAACAAGGGCAAGATTTTGTCAGGAACCAGTTTAGTTATATTGATATCAACCATGACACTATTTTGAAATAAAAACAAAGATGCTTTTATTAAATTGATAAGTTCTGTTGCTTTAAGTAAATATTTTATTCTACTTTAGGATGGGGACTTTGATCGGGTGCAGAATTTTATACAGAGGCGCAGCGAAAATCTGATAAATGTTGATGTCAAAGACAGAAATACTGGGAACACACCTCTTATTTGGGCTGCAAAGAGGGGACATACAAAGGTAAGAATGAAGTGAATGGAAATGATTGATGCAAAAGAATTATTATAAAGTTCCAAAGTAATTGCAGTAAGTGTAGTACAGATGAGATGTTTCATTGAAATTTAAGTATTTATTTATATTTTAATCATTATATAAAGTATTCCATTTGTGGATTGTGTATATTTTAATTAAAAGCTTAAAAACAACCTTCAATTTTCCAGATTAAAAAAAAAATCTTAATAACATCTCTGTCTGTTGTCTGTTTATAAATGTGAAATCATGCCATGACTCTCAGATAGACACATAAATAACATAATAAAATGTCAACTGTTGAATTTGGAACTGAGTCATGCAATCTAATGAGAACCACTGCTCATATCAGAGTGTACAATTTGAGGGTCTTCTTCTATAACTTTTTTATCCAGCAAATTCCAGAAATATCAATTATATTCATTATGTTATTCATTTGTAGCGCTTGTACATATATGCTTACATGTTCTTTTACCTGTTTTTTTCTGTCAATCAAATGGATATTTGACATAAACAGACTTAAAGGTAAATGGAAATAAGACCACGGGTGTTAAATCTGGGTTTTTTGTTTGACAGATGCCTTTAAGATGTTACACTTATGTTTTAGATTTTATCTTGATATTTTTACAGATTGTGCAACTTCTTCTGAAAAATGGTGCAGATGTTACCCTACAAAATTTTGAAGGTCAGACGTCAGTTGAGGTGGCTTCATCATCCATCAAACAAATATTGCTAGATTCTGTAGATCATGGAACAACACACAGACATTTTCTGCAAGCAGCTTGGCAAGGGAATATCAGTGTGGTTAGGAAGTTACTGGTAGGCACATTTTCCTGCTATTGATAATTTTACAGGTACAATTAGATATGAACACAGGGTAAGTTTTCTTTGTGAACAATGCAGTTTTGTTATATAAGATTGCCTAGAAATTGCTATATATATATATATTTACAAAATGTTGTGCAAAAGATGTTATTAGAGATTTTTTGTTAAGAAATTAACCACTTTTGATCATAGATATATCTTTACTGACACATTAAAATGTAAGGGGTGTTATTTGTTATGGGAACTCAATTTTTAAATAACAATAAACACCCTTGAAAAGACAAAAGTGCACTAAAAAGTCAGCACAAATGAAAAAACCTTACATAATGTGATATTCAGTGCATAGTAGGAAATCCCCCTGTTGTTTTTTTAATGACATTGACTTCTACATGTACAGTGACTGCAGACAGGCTGGCAATATGATATTGATTGTTAAAATAGATGATAAGCTTCATTACCTATTACCTAGTTGTTAGTCTTTATGTGAAATTGGTGCACCATTGTGGAAAAGTGTTTTGAATATTCCTTTGTTCTTCTGGTTTTTCTGCTAAATTTGTTTTATTTTATAGTAACCCTGTAAACCTTTCTGGAGTTTTATGGTGAAACAGATTAATGAAGATATATTGTGTTTTTTTTCACTGCGAAAACAATTGAAAGAGTTTGAGAGAGAGAGAGAGAGAGGGGGGGGGGGTAAATCCCCATTTCTCAATGATTTTTTAAAAAGTAAATGTCATTAACATATGGAAGACAGTTATTCCACGCATAATATTTAACTTACACCACCTATATTAAGGATTATTCAGTGTTGCAATTATTTTTTAAAATTCTAGGCTGAGGGCAGGATTCTGGATGTAAATTGCAAGAATGCAGATGGATTGACACCACTTCTTCTAGTCACAAGGAATGTGGATTTGTTTGAGAAATTAAATAAACAGCTGCATAAAGAATATAATCCCCTAGAGGTTGTAGCAGAACTTCTGACACACAGTGGGTAAGGAGCTTGAAATGTAATCCATTGTATGCAAGTACACTACAAAGTCTTGCTCTGGCTCTGTTTTATAATTTTTTTTCATGCTTTGTTTCTCTCTGCTTTCCATTCTCTTTGTAATAACATAATTAAATGAATACTTCAGAAACATAGAGCTTAAAAATATAAGACTGTCAAAAACATAGATCTTTAAGTCTTCATACTGCAATACAAATCTGTCACACGTTGAATTGGGATCATAATATACTGTATAAATATTCAGTTATCATTTTAACCTTAACATCCTTCAATTCTGAATGTATTTTCTCCATTTGCAAAGATCGTGGACAAGACAGTTACTGATCATGAATAACTTTATCTTCTCCCTTTCCCAATTCTCCTGCCTGTCTAAAATCATAATTTCTTCATATTCAGTGATCCAGATGTGTTTGACAGTGAAGGCAAGAACCCTCTGCACTATGCATCACTTTGTAAGACTCCACTGGCTGGCAGGCTGGTCTCATGTATGCTGGAGGAAGGGGTGGAATCAGGTAATTTGGATAATTAAAAGCGGATACTAGTGTTCTAGTAAAGATTTTTAAAATACCTCTCATTTACCAATGTTTTATCATGTAGTTTTGCCATGATTACCCTTTGTTTCTAGATATTATTCTATTGTTAAGAACATAAAAAATGGACCTATTCAATTTTGGTCCTATTATATTAGCAAACTTGTGATACATGTACATCATTGAAGAGTTTTTGAAACAGTCTTTATGGTATGTCAGAGTAAATAGATATAAAACAATTAGCAGAGGATCCATTATAAACCTTTATTTTTCCTAGGTGCTAAGGACAGGCGCTGTAACACCCCCATCCACTGTGCCTCCAGGAGTGGCAATGTTGATGTGATGCTGGCTCTCATAGATGGAGGAATGGATGTCAATGTCAGAGGATTTGCTGGGGCCACACCTTTACACGTTTCTGTAAGTAAATGTCAGCAAGCCCTTAAAAGACATATTTTATGTTAATTAGTCTATTTGTTGTTGTTGTTGGTATTGTTGTTAAATATATGGATATAGGTACCAGAATGTTTGATTATAAGTAATTTGCATGAAAGTTATCATTTTAAATTTGAGTAAGAAGCAAGTTTTTGAGTTGATGTATTGTTTCTTGATTTCTGCAAGTATACTGTATATATAACTGTCAGATATGAATAGTACAAGGAAAATAATTTCTATTCATTGGTCTCAGATGATATATTGACAACTTTTGAATATGCTGTGTATAAATGGTATGTAATATATACTAGAGTTCTTATCGAGTAAATAAATTGCAGGCCCAAACTGGAAACAATGACACTGCAACTACTCTGCTAGAATATGGTGCTGATGTGACATTAGTGGATGACAAAGGTCTCACTGCTGTTGATGTTGCCAAAAATAAACGTGTCAGGTCCACCCTGAAGGAAGCCTGGGCTGAGGCTACCCAGAAGAAACCAGAGCCCCAGTTAGGTCCTCTCCGTGCACCTAGCAGGGAATCTTCTCATTTTTCACAAGATGAGTTAAGGACATTTAAAGCTCAGAAGAGGAAAGGAGAGGTCATTTTTGATGTACATGTAAGTGTATATCTTACTATTTTGCTGTCATAGAAATAATCATTATGATTAAAAGTAGACAAGTTCTGTGTTATCATTATATTTTTCATAATTTTATAATCAAGTGTTATTGATTATTATTTCTTGTAATAAGACAGAAGAAGCATCTTGTGATTGCCTCTGGTCTGATTCTTACAGTGTGACAAAATATCATATCAGTTGCTTTATCATCAATGACATTAAGTACATATGTTCAATTAAAAACAATTTAAACAATATTCACTGTGAAGGAGGCTTATTTTCAGTAATAAAGGGATTATAGTTATCAATAGGGGATCTCATGTTGTGAAGTATACACATTATAGTGATTATTCTTCTCACATATTTACATATTTCAGGGTTTACCTATAACTTCATCATTTCAATGCAAGAAGTCGTTTTCACCACCTAGTAAGTATGACTGCATTTTGTACTGTTTGCACCAGTATACTATATAGACCATGTAATTTGAAAAAGATTTTACAATGAAGTACATGGGCATTATATTTGAAAGTTTCCATTGGGCTACCAGTACAGATACCCTGATACATGCAGGTAACAGTAAATCATATTTTATACTTTGGATACAGAATTGTAGAATGGAGGTTATTTCAAATTCGTATTTTAGAAAATGACACAATCAAAGTACTTATGTTGCTCTTATGATAATTCTGTTTTGGCTGGCACATTTGATTCATGACAATTATTCCTTTGAATGTTTTCATGTGGTTTAAAATTTTTATCTTAAAATCACCACATATTGTTTTATTTTCTGATTTTGTAGAGAAGTTAACACTTCAACAGCTGTCAGAAGCCCACAGTGCTATGAAGCATGAGGAACAGGTGCTCAAGGAACTGGAAACTGGAACTTTTTCATATTCTCCAACAAGGTGAGAGGATGGACTCTTGCTTTCAACATTCTGTGATGTTTGAACCAATGTTAGAATTGTTACCCAAATGTTGTTTCCTTATGTCTGTATATTCAATAATGGTATATCAAAACTGTAAGTTGAGATTTTGTTTAATAATTAAAAAAAATTCAATGATCTTGATTTTCACGTTACTGAACCACCACCCCTAAATATGCAGCATTGCTGAACATTAAGTTTACAGTTTTTGAGAACAGATGACATTTTTATAAAAGATTTGGAATCCAATATTTCAGAGATGGCCCAAGAATCTTAGGAACACCAAGGGGAGTACCTAAACCCTCCACCCTACCCAGAATGCCTCACAGCCCAGAAAAGACGCCCTTGCACAAGAGCCCTGAGAGGCATTTGGCACCATTGAGAGAAGCCCAGAGTCAGGCCAGGAAACTGAGCAGAGAGTTTTCTGCTGATGATTTTGAAAGTGGGCATCCTATACTTGGGAAAAGAAATTGTAAGAGACAGCTTTTTTTTTTCTTAGATTCTTATTCTGTTTATTTCATAGATAAGTTATGAGGATAAATGAGATGATCATCTTAAAAATTAGTACAATACCACTCTTTAATGGTATTGCATATGTTCTTTTGAGCGTATCCATAGAGTGAGGGGAAATATAGGGTTGCATCTGTTGTATAGATAATATTATAAAATGGCATGTATATTGAATATTTTATATTCAATATACATGCCATTTTATATTGAATATTTTATATTGACTTTGTAATATTTGCTTTTCAGCTGATCCGGGAAGAAAGCTCTCTCCATTGAATCCCACAGATAGTGCTGTATCTATCAAAGGAAGGGCCACTGACCTGTCAGAGACACTTCATGATTTAAGGTAACTTGTCAAAGTTTAAGAGTCAAATACCTGTACTTATTACTTATAGTATGTTCTTTTTTATCAGAAAGTTCATTAGTCTCATTCTTTATTTTTTTGATGTGTTCCATTTATCTGTATCGGTACATTATTTCAAAAGTAACCCATGAGAATATCTGATACTGTAACAGTATTTGAATATACTTTAATATATACTTTTCTTGTATGTAAGATAAGATAATTTCATATTAGAGAATTATAATAACTTCTTATTTGTTTAAAAAATGAAGCTTCGTATGATAAAATGATAATGATTTAGATCAAAGAAGATAGTCCAAGGGACCAACCTTGCAAGACAGCGTCGCCTGTCAGACGGCAATAACCACTCTCCTTCTCCTAACATTGCTGAACTGACTGGTATCTGCGATGACTTGCTCTCCAAGGGTAAATATGATGTATCAATTGTAAAGCATGCAGCCTAGCAATGCACTGAAAGCATATATCACGCACTTTGACCCACAAGCATCTTTTCCAGAGTGGTAGTAAATGGTGTGCAAAATACAATGGTATAAGTTCCATACATAACTCCCTTTGTGTAATACATGTTATTTCCATACATAAAGCTTACATAATTAATCAGTATTTGTTGTGAGTATAAAGAAAAAATGCTGATGTTATATAAATATACCGTAACTGGTATTTTTGTGAAGAAAAAGGCCAGTTGTTAAACTGGCTTTGTTCTGTGTATTTACATTTTGCTTTCATTGTAGCCTTATAGACTCCTAAACTGTCCAATATTCTTCCTGTTCAGGTCGATCCCCATCTGTTGTGTCTGTAGGTGACCTTGACATTGAAACCATCACTCCCCCTCCCAGACTGACCCCAATTCGCACTCCCTCTGGTTCTGATCGTAACAGACTGAAGATTCCGAACACTATACAAGAAGACAAGGAAACTAGGGCCATGATTCTTGATCTAGGTATGCATGTCTGAAACTACTGCATGCATGATGAATAATTATTGAAGATTGTTATAAAATTCTTATCCTGTTTTTGTTGTGTTTTCACTTCATGCTTACTTCTGTTATATTTGAAACAGCTGTGAAGAGATGTAAAGATTAAGTGAAAAGCAATTTATAATTGATATTGAGCAAAAATGAAGACACTTAAGTACGGTAATTCTCCAATCTATACGAACGATTTTAATTAATTATTTTTTGAAGATAATCATTTTATTCGTAAGGTTTGAAATTCAATCTGCAAAAATTGCCATGCGTTCGTATCCATTGAAATACGAAAGGAATATGGCTGTACCGGAAGTTATTTCCACTTACCTAACATTGCTAAGTGTAAGCATTACTTTCAGATTAAATCACTGTGATCAGCTTTTATCACAAACAAATTATTCTTGCGATATTGCAATGAATTAAAACAAACTAAACAAAAGTCGGGAATTCAAGTTAAGAAACAATTTCTCCATACTAAAGAGGTACATTGCTCCCAAGACAAGACAACATCGTTTTTCCCTGCAATGTTTCTGCCAAGACAGGACAACATCGTTTTTCCCAACTTCTGTCAAAAACAGAAAAGAATATTTTCGTATCCAGTTGCATATTTTATTTATTGCGTGTTTTCTTTTGATATGATTTCACATATAGAAAATTTGCAATATTAATAATGTCACTCCCCCCCCAATTAGGCCAACATAAATTTCTTCCGCTAAAACCAAATACTTAAAACTCCTCACAGTAGATATGACGTTAATAAAAGATAATACTTGACATAAAAATACCATCAGCTCAATTCAAGTCTATTTATGAAAGTCTCGATCTTACAGTATATTAATTTGCACGCAATCAATGTAAACTTGATTAGAAAAAAATACAGAAGAACTGCAGGCAAATTTGTATAAAGTCATATGGCACCTTTATTTTTCACAATCACCAATATCAGTACATAAGGTTTACCTACTAGTTGTTTATGAGACAAGATCTTTAACAAGGAAAAACAAACAAACAAAAAAAAAAAACCATGAACATTATAAGAACTCAAAGAAAAAATAAATACAAGACAGAACTCCTCTTTAAAAATTTAATTTCCTGATGACTACCAAAAACAAATGAAAAACTCGATCATTGACTATGGATTTCTCAAACTCTTCTGTTGTACGTGGATTTCACGTTTATAGATTTTACTGGAAACCAGTTATCGGTGAAACACTGATGGTAGATGTTGATGATCCAGTCGGCCGGCGAAGTTAAGAAATGATAATAAACAGTAAGTAATTTATGTGTACTGATGCTTTCATAATTTCTAAATAACAATAGGGTTTTAAAACTGGCCTGCAGCTGCCGGCGGGCAGGTTGAGTCCTCCTATCGTCTCATTCAAAAACAGCACAAATACATGATAACAATCTCTCCTGTCAAGTGGCAGTTTCTTTGTTTGGAACGGTGGTCTGAAAACTCGCTTCCACGAATCATGGGGCGAGTTTCAACTGGGCAAACTTTCTTGCGTTCGGAACATTTAAATTGTGCCCAAGGTGAGTTTAGCGATCGTTCGTACAGAATGGAAACAAAAAATTCAGATTCAGAGAAAAACGTTTCGTTCGTAATTATTGCGGCGTTCGTATAGATTGGAGAATTACCGTAAGTAGTTTGCACGACTCATGTAAACATGTGTGTATGTGTACTTGTGCATGCATGTTGTATTGTTTAGTAAAAAAATTATATTACTATTGATTTAATTTATCATCTTTATTTAAGATCAAATGGGCATTAAGACATCATCAGATTCACCAGTATTCCAGGATCTTTACCCACTTTCAAGGAAAATATTACCACCATCACCATTGCAACAGAAACAGTACAGTTTTGAAGAGGGGAGGCTAACTTCACAGGATTTTGCATCTTCAAAGGTATGGATTTTTAGATCTAAACCTGTATGTTAGAAAAACAGTTAAGTTGTTCTTTGTACATTAGTTTTGTCAGGGTAATTGTTTCAAAAAAATATGTTTGTAATTTCTTTAAAAGCAGTTTATTTTGGAAAATACTTGCACTTGATACACCTTTCAAGTTATCTTTGTTTATTTATTTGTATTTTAAAAGTTAAGGACCTTTAGGTATGTAGGTCATGTTTGATATCTGTAATGACCTTTTAATGTTTGGTTTTTTAGGAGTCCTCACCGAGATCAACAGAAAGCTCACCACGGTCAGATTGCAGTAGCAGTCATGACATTAAGTACCCTGTGCGCAGCAAGTCAATCCTGAGAAATGTCTTCAATATTGAGGAGAGCAGAACTGTAGAGCATAGATCTTCCCCAGAGAGTGAGTCCAAGTCCAGTATGGCTTCCAGCAGTTTTAGCAGTATGACCACGCCCTCACCAGAGACATCTCAAGAGTTTGGAACTGTCAATACTTATGATACAAACAGTTCTAGTTCTACATTGACTAATGTGACAATTAATGCCAATGTAAATGCCAGGGCTTCTTCCACTGTAACAGATAAGGGTAACAAGAAGCCTTTACATGTGCCTAGACCTCCTCAAGATAAAGAAAGGGGAGAAGGGGACAGTGCTCACAAATCTATGCCTGCCAGTAAGAATCAAGAAACTAAAACATATAAAGTTGCTCAAAACACAGCTGCAAATAAAACAAGTATTTCTATGACTGAGAGTTCTAAAAAGACCAATAAGACAGCAGTGACTTCTGGAGACAATAAAGCTGGCTCAAAGGCAGCAGCAGCAGTAGCAGGTAGAGCAAGGCTTCGAGAAGTGGCGAGACAAAATGCCCAGAATCCTGCTGTCAAAAATGTTCAAAAGGGTGCTGCTGTTCAAAGCAATAATAGCCAACAAGCTTCAGCTGTTAAAGTTCCAGTCAGTTCTGCAATGGGAGCAAATAAGAAGAGCAGCCCACCAAGAGACAAAATAATAGTGCACTCAAACATCTTGGAGGAAACTGCTGATCTTCCTGAAGAGCCTGTGATTGAAAAGCACAAAGAGGAAAAAACTGACCAAGAAAAAGATGCATCTTTAATTGAGGGCAAAGCTACTGCAGAGGAACATTTCTTTATTACTGAGACCTCAGTAAAAAATGAGTCGACTTCAATGATGGCCACTGGGCAGGAAAAAAAGGAGTGCGCAAAAGACAATAGCGAATCACCCTTAAAGGTTGTGCCTCTTTCCTCAAAATCTGAAACTGATATCAAAGTAACTGAAGTTAAAATGGAAAACACACCAGTCCAAGACTCTCAACCTGTGCAGAAAATGTTAAAAAGAAGTGAATCAGATCCAAAGTTAAAAGGTATGACAAGGCAAACCTCAACTGGTAGTTTAAGCAGTAATATTCCTGCTACTTCACCAAGGTCAAAAGTATTAAACAGGACACCTAGTCAGATTTCTATTGTAAACTCAGTTATCATTTCTGATCATGCTGTGCAGAGTCAAAAGAAGATGGAAACTAAACCCAATAACTCTCCTAGAAATAACACACAGAATGGAAAATCTGTTGTTGCCTGGTCTGACAGTAAAAGTGATAAAAGTCCACGAAAAACAGATTCTAAAGCCAGCACAGCTCTACAAGGCAACCAAAAGAATCCTAATCCAGCTGTGGTCCAGGCTGTAAACAGAAATGACTTGACTGTATCATCTACAAAACAGAGTAAAACAAGTTCACCCAAAAAATCCAAACAACCCTGCAACTGAGAAAATACAAGAAAAGAAGGGACCAAAGACTTTGCAAGGTAATTCAGGAAATAGTAAACAAATTAATGTTGAAACAAATCGACCTCATTCATCAAGTCAGCAAGTCCCTCAGGTTCCAGGGGCACCTAGTAGCAATAAAGAGGGTGCCAGTGCCAAAGTTGACGAAACTGCTGCCTTTAACTCTGACAAAGTCCCAGTTGAAAGAGCTTCCAGCAGGAACAAATCTACAAATGTCACCGCTTCTCCTTTAAGCAAGAATGTATCTTCCACTGAAAGATCTCAGTCTGTAAGCAATGCAAAAGCTATTGAAAAAGCTGTTAAATCTGTTGATGCTTCACAAACAGTTGGAGTTGTATCCAAGCCAAAAGTAAAAAACACTAATGAGACTGTGTATGTCACAAATGCAAAGAGGCCCTCAGATTGTGAAAATATACAATCAACTAAAACAAATCCACAGGTGAAAGTCATTAACACAGTTGTAAATAATAGTCCAAAAACAACTCCAACAAACAAGGGCACAAAGGAAGATAATGTAGTGGAAATGAAAAACGAGGACAAAATTGAATCAAATGTTCAGAATAGTTTGGAGTCTAAAGTGACAACTTCTGGAAAAGATATATCTCCAAGAACACAGAACACTATCAATGATTCTATACAGAATAATGTTGATGGAATGTCACCTAGGACACAAAATCAAATAAATGACAAAATTGAGGAAATAAGTGAAAGGAAACCAGTAACACCTGTAAAAACAAAAACAGAAAATCAGAATCGGACAAGAGAAACTCTTGCTTCAGATATGCAAAGAAAATTAGTGCTAGTTTCCTCTGAAAAGTATCCGGAAGGTGGCGTATCCAAGAAACCCATGTCTGCTAGGCCAACTAAAGCCAATAACACTGTGAATAAGCCACCTGTTAAGACTGTAAAACCTACAAAACCTTCCACTGTGGTGCCTAAAGGCGGAATTACAAAAGCAAACACTGTAACAGTGCATCAAAAGCATTTCAGTGCTTCTACAAAAGAACCAAGCAAACAGTCCAATATTGATAAAACTGCTACAAATAATGCTAAAGTTCCTGCTTCTAATATACAGCCATCTGAGACAAAGGCACCTCCACAAACAGATAACAAGGCTAAGATGGGACAAGATATTCTGCAGATGGAAAATGATCAGAAAAAGACAACAGAAACAGAGGATGAAAAATCTACCCCAGCCCCAGGTTTAGAGGTGTTTGTAGGCAAGGATCAGTCTCCAGATCTTCCAAAAGCAGTCAGAGTGAATTTTGTTGAACACACCGGGCCAGTCATAGAAGATGCCTTTGAAAACTTCCCCAAACCATATGAAACCCAATCAGTAACTTCTGCTGCAAATAACAGTGCCTTGGATACAAAGAATAGCACTTTAAAACCTCCTGGTAGAACGAGGGATGCCTTTTTCAGTGCACAAAACAGATCACCTTCCAAGACAAGGCCCAAAAAGTCGGCAGTTGTGAAATCTCAAAATCAAACCAGTAAAACCACTGGGCAGCAGGGTACAAAGAAAGTGGGTAATAAGAACAACACAGAATGCAAGAAAGATGGTACTGATGGACAAAAAGTTAAAAAGAGGTTGAAAAGTGGGAAGAAAAAGAAGAAGAAACAAGTTGGGAAAACAGAACTAGATAATATTGATCCTTCCAAAACTGCTCTCATTTCTGGTATTGGTTGGCATATAGCTACAGATAAAATAGAGCATGCAGAAGTGTCCAAAAAGACAGACTCTTCAGACGAAGAAAGTGAGACACCAAGACCAAGCACCTTAAATCCTGGAATAGCCAAGACAGAAGGTGCAGAACATGTTGAGCCTCAAGCAAATGAAACGACAGAGGGCAAGGTGCCACCTATTGATTTGGGTAGCGTTGCAAATGTGTGTTCTACAGAAAAAACAGAACCAGCTCCTCAAAAAACCATGAGGCCATTGGAAGTTCCAATCACCTTAGATTCAATGGCAATGCAGGTTTTGATAAACATTGCAGAATTCCAATCACCAAGGACTGCTAGGTCCTCAAGATCCAAGACCTCAGTGAGGTCACCAAGGAGAAAATCGCCAAGAAGGTCCCCTCGGCCAGATGAAATCAGGAAGGTTTTGGAGAGAGAAATAAGGGAAAGGTCCATCCCTCTCAGTTCCAGTGATCAAGAATCTCCTGTGAATTCTTTGATTCCCAATACCATCAATGCAATCAGACAGTTTGCTAAGTCAGTAAGGGACGATTCTTCAGATGTTCATCAAAGGTCTGAGTCTGGCTCAGGTCAATCTTCTGGGCAGAACACGTGGTCAAGCTCTTGGGAGAAAAAAAGAGAAAATTTTTCATCTAAATTCCAACCAGAAGCAGATGCTGCTTTAGAAAATATGAACAGTTCTCTTAAGCAGTCATCGAAAGTTGTTCAAAGTATACTGGACGAGGCTCCAGGCAGCAATTCGGATACTGATGGATCGTTCCCTGATTCAAGACATGAGGGAAGTATGTTTAGTGCTGGCATTGAAAGCAACTTTTCTTCTCGGCAATCCAGTGGGTCAAAGGTCATAAGTTCAGGGTCCTCAAGACAATCTAGCAACAGTGGGTCCCATGACTCTGCAAATTCACGCTTCTTGAAACAGATGGAGGAGCTGAGGCAAAGTTCTGGGAGAGTCAGCGAAGCTGGTGATGAAAGTCAGGGTCTAAGTCGGGCTTGTGGTCAAACCAGTGACAATAATGTTGGGTCAGATCAATTAAACAAGCCTATAGCAAATGCAGAAAAGGATGAAAACATTGAAGATCTCATTGAAGAAATCCTGAGTGCTACGCCTGTACCAAGGGAAAAGAAACCAAAGTCAAACACATCCTCTCCAGGATATAACAGTAATATTGATAGTCAGAACACTAGTGTAGAGGACCACAATAGTGAGGTCAGACACCACCACCCACATAGGAGAGACTCTAAGGAGGTTATGAGAGAGGAAGGCTTGGAGAAACTGGTGGATAACTTTAAGAAAATGGAACTGCAAGTGTGTGATGATGGTACCACTCCAACTCCTAGAAGATCAAATTCTCCAGCCATGCCAATAGCCAACTCTTCTCACAGTGTGACTAAAAGGCCACCATCTGGTAGATCAAAGGAGGTTCAGAAGACATCTTCACATGTGTCCTCATCAAGTCCAATCTCAGGGAGAAGAAAGAAAATGACAGAGCTTAAGCAGAGGGCAAGTAAAGACAAACCTGAGTTGCCAAGCCACAGAAGTGATGTGAGTGAAATGCTGGGGGAGGTTCCTACACTTACTCAAAAGGTTAGCAAAGCATATTTTTACTTATATATTTTAATACATAATATCAGTCAGACTGATTTTACTGTATGCACTTGCACATTTGAGCAAGAATCATGCAAGTTGAGAGAAAAATAAATTCAGTAAAAATACTAAAGTAATCTGTTTAATGAATTTAAACATTATTTTTTGTTAAAATGACGATCTGCCAAAGATGTTTTCTTTTGACCAAATTTTTAGTTTTGAGACGGTAGTATTAGGAAAACCACTTGTGGATGAAATTATGTTTTAACATTTTTCTATTGATTTTCAGGATATTGATGCCATGTCAGAATGTTCTGGTGTAAACTCTGACCTTGGTTCAGAATGGCTGAGTGTGACAGGAAGTGATGCAGACGATGATGCAGTCAACCAATCACTGGTACAGGTTATGAAGGAGGTGGAACAAGTCACGTGCAATTCTCCTGAAAGCAGAGTATGTTCATCTGTTAAATTTTACACACACTACAGTATTTCAAATCTTACCTGTTATGTCTATACATTCTTAAATTTTTTTCAGTACTAAGATAACTAATAATCAGATTTAGTATTGAATGGGCATTAAAGTAAGGTCAACTGTGGTAATTACATAATGATTATGTATACAATATCAATTTTTAAGAATTATTATTATTATTGTTGTTGTTATTATTATTATTATTATTATATTTTTATTTTTATTTTTTTTGCATGTGTCATTCCTTGTCATGTATACTTTGTTGTGTCTTATTTCAGACATACACAAGTAGGTTGGGTCGCAGAAGTAACACCAGGGCAGAGAGTGTGTGTAGTACCAGGTCTGAGGGAGAGACTTTGCAATGGAAAAAGGGAAATGTCCTTGGGAAAGGAGCATTTGGAACTGTGAGTGTGAAGAGTATTTATGCAAGTTGATATTGCAGCTTATCATGATCATTATAGAGAAGTAATGTGAACTAGCTTTAATGTCTGTTTTATAAGTGGCAATTTATGTTCTGTGTATTTTTTAATGGGGGAAGTGCTTAACCTCTGGCAAAAGAACTTCTAAAAATTAAATATTGTAATCATATTTAGATGAACTGTAGGTCTAGCTCTTTGTAATACCCCCTTTACACTGGACGGCGTCCTTTCTGCGACCATGAAATTTGGCATCGCTGTGGTCTTAATAAGGAGGCACGAGCATTGATTTGGTATCAGAATGAATGCTCAATGATCGGCCAGTTGTCAGCACGTAAAGTATTATAATTCTTTAACTCTCAAATGGGGCCGAACTGCTGGACGCAGAAGGGACGCCGTCCAGTGTAAAGGAGGCTTAAGGTAGCCAGTGCATATTATTTTATACACTTAATCCTGTCTAGACACATTTTGGATAACAAGTACCAACATGTTATCTTGGTAAGAAGGTGGTATTTAGATATCTTTGTTTCAGCATGAATGAAATACATTAAGGACAAGAATTCCTTTTATTATTATTATCTTATTTATGAAATGTTTTACCAGGTTTGGTGTGGGCTGACAGATGTTGGAGAACTGATTGCTGTCAAACAGATAAACCTGAATGTTCATGACATGGATAAAGCTGAAAAAGAATATGAGAAAATACAGGAAGAAGTGGACTTGCTCAAGACTTTAAAACATAAAAACATAGTTGGGTTAGTGAAAAAATTAAGATACCTTTAAATGCTCTGTGCAAAATATCAGATGATTTTTTCCTTTATAAGTCTGATTTTTATTTACTATGGTTCCTTAGTGGCAGTTAGCATTATATATATATATATATATATATATATATTCAATCAAACATACACTGGATGTATGATTTTATAAGATAAGACATTCTATATACCACTAAGATATATTTACCGTAAAGCAAAAAGGATATTGCAATAGTAGTAGTAACTGAACAGAAGTGCCCTAGCTGACATGGTAAACAGAACATGTGGTTAACATTACTTGTATAATCAAGTAAGTAAGTATATGTGCATTCCTTCCTTCTCCAGTTACCTTGGCACCAGTCTGGAGGATGACACAGTGAACATCTTCATGCAGTTTGTTCCTGGTGGTTCTGTGGCCAATCTCTTGGCACGCTTTGGGGCCCTGGAAGAGGTGGTCTTCTGCAGGTACACCAAGCAGATCCTGGAGGGGGTGGAGTACCTCCATGCCAATAATGTCATTCACAGGTCAGTGGTTTGGACAATACAAGATACATAGCAACTGACTTTTTTTCAGCATATACATTGCAATGTGCTTTTAAAGTGAAGTTGCTCCATATTTACTATCACTGCAATCCCTGTACAGCTTATAAACATAGAAAGCTTGTCTATAAACATATGACTTTTATGTGGTGCATTGAACAAGAGAAGGATGAGTCTGATCTTCTATGGTTATTTTATTGTTATCGTATGCTTGGTGAGGGTGTGGTCAATTACATTCTACTTGACTGGAAAAAGTGCTTATACTGGTAGAAAGAATTTCACTGTTGCAGACCAGTAATAATGTAACTTAACAATTTTAAGAAATTATATTGAATGGGTTTCCATTTTAGGGACATCAAGGGAGCAAACATCATGTTGATGCCTAATGGTATCATCAAGCTTATAGACTTTGGATGTGCTAAGAGGTTGTGTATCAATCTCAGCATGAGTCAGACACAAATACTCAAATCCATGAAGGGGACACCATATTGGATGGCTCCAGAGGTGGTCACTGAGACAGGACATGGAAAGAAATCTGATATATGGTACACATTTAGTGTGATTTAAGGTTAAATCCATTTGGTAGATTGTTGTACCTTTATCTGGCAGTTTAAAAAGAATGATTAAGCACCTAGTTATTTGTTTGAAAATATAGCAAAGGCTTTTGTATTTTGACTTTCCATGTATCTCTGCTACTTTCATTGACAGCAAAATTCCATTTTAGGAGTATTGGCTGTACAGTGTTTGAGATGGCCACCAGAAAACCTCCATGGTATGTAATGATGACACTATCACCTGCCATCTGGCCATGCTCTAATAAAGATTTGATTCTATTACTTATGTCCATTTCATAAAAGAAAAATGTTGTTGTGAATTATAATTTTTTTGAGTAAGAAATTAGACTGAAGAATGTCCATAGTTTGGTATAGTTTTACTGATGCATGGTGGTGTTTTCAGGTCAGAGATGGCACCCATGGCAGCCATATTTGCTATAGGCTCAGATAAGCCAGTCCCCGAGTTACCTGCCACATTTAGTGAGGAAGCAAGAGAGTTTGTGAAAATGTGCATGTTAAGGTAAATTTGTTTTTACCAAGAAATACTTATGTCTGTTGTCCCACCTTTCCATTTATTTTATTTGTTCCTTGTTTTACATTTTAGCTTGTAAAACTCCTTTACCAAGATTTTTTAGAATGCATGATTTTATGAGTGGGTTTCTGAGAAGGGTTCACCTCAACTAGTGTCCACTGAAGTACATGTATTTTAATAACACAGATTTAGATCCCACCATAAGTCTACGTAATTTGGGTTTGATTAAAAAGTATTTTAACCAAATTTCATCTATTAACAATAAATACTACATAATATTTCTGAATACTCAACAAAAATTAATTTCCAGAGATCAAGATCTTCGTTGGGATGCATCAGCACTGTTGCAACACATTTTCATCACCAAGAAAAAGAAATAAACTGATCATGGACAAAGGATTATTTATTTCAGCTTAACTGCAGTTAAGCCTATGAAAATATAGGAGGCACAAAACCGACTTATATACCATGTTACATAAATAACAGTGACAGTAAACCAATGTTGGAAAATGAGATCATTTTCATGATTTTATATTGAAGAGCCTTTCAAGTAGATTTTTACATATACTTGAAAATATGAATTAACTGATCTATATACAGCTACCCATATACTAATTTATACAGGTTTTATCTGTATTGATTTATACAGGACTATACCAAGTGCATTAAATAAGGAAGGGATTTAATTGTGTTTAAAAACAAAGCATATTCNTCGCTTATACTGGTAGAAAGAATTTCACTGTTGCAGACCAGTAATAATGTAACTTAACAATTTTAAGAAATTATATTGAATGGGTTTCCATTTTAGGGACATCAAGGGAGCAAACATCATGTTGATGCCTAATGGTATCATCAAGCTTATAGACTTTGGATGTGCTAAGAGGTTGTGTATCAATCTCAGCATGAGTCAGACACAAATACTCAAATCCATGAAGGGGACACCATATTGGATGGCTCCAGAGGTGGTCACTGAGACAGGACATGGAAAGAAATCTGATATATGGTACACATTTAGTGTGATTTAAGGTTACATCCATTTGGTAGATTGTTGTACCTTTATCTGGCAGTTTAAAAAGAATGATTAAGCACCTAGTTATTTGTTTGAAAATATAGCAAAGGCTTTTGTATTTTGACTTTCCATGTATCTCTGCTACTTTCATTGACAGCAAAATTCCATTTTAGGAGTATTGGCTGTACAGTGTTTGAGATGGCCACCAGAAAACCTCCATGGTATGTAATGATGACACTATCACCTGCCATCTGGCCATGCTCTAATAAAGATTTGATTCTATTACTTATGTCCATTTCATAAAAGAAAAATGTTGTTGTGAATTATAATTTTTTTTGAGTAAGAAATTAGACTGAAGAATGTCCATAGTTTGGTATAGTTTTACTGATGCATGGTGGTGTTTTCAGGTCAGAGATGGCACCCATGGCAGCCATATTTGCTATAGGCTCAGATAAGCCAGTCCCCGAGTTACCTGCCACATTTAGTGAGGAAGCAAGAGAGTTTGTGAAAATGTGCATGTTAAGGTAAATTTGTTTTTACCAAGAAATACTTATGTCTGTTGTCCCACCTTTCCATTTATTTTATTTGTTCCTTGTTTTACATTTTAGCTTGTAAAACTCCTTTACCAAGATTTTTTAGAATGCATGATTTTATGAGTGGGTTTCTGAGAAGGGTTCACCTCAACTAGTGTCCACTGAAGTACATGTATTTTAATAACACAGATTTAGATCCCACCATAAGTCTACGTAATTTGGGTTTGATTAAAAAGTATTTTAACCAAATTTCATCTATTAACAATAAATACTACATAATATTTCTGAATACTCAACAAAAATTAATTTCCAGAGATCAAGATCTTCGTTGGGATGCATCAGCACTGTTGCAACACATTTTCATCACCAAGAAAAAGAAATAAACTGATCATGGACAAAGGATTATTTATTTCAGCTTAACTGCAGTTAAGCCTATGAAAATATAGGAGGCACAAAACCGACTTATATACCATGTTACATAAATAACAGTGACAGTAAACCAATGTTGGAAAATGAGATCATTTTCATGATTTTATATTGAAGAGCCTTTCAAGTAGATTTTTACATATACTTGAAAATATGAATTAACTGATCTATATACAGCTACCCATATACTAATTTATACAGGTTTTATCTGTATTGATTTATACAGGACTATACCAAGTGCATTAAATAAGGAAGGGATTTAATTGTGTTTAAAAACAAAGCATATTCACCCCACAGTATTATACCCAATTGTTATTTGTGTTATTAAACAAAGAACACAAGTAAACACCAAGGTTTTGCCATAAGTTAAAAGGGTAAAATCAACAAAATTTAATATAAAAAGAGTAATTTACTAATATAGTACAATTATTAATTTTTTTTCATGTAGTCCCATAATGGTTGTGACGAAGGTTGTGCTTATTTACAATGGTGTATTTCAAATGTGAAAAGGAAATTGGTTATTAGCTGGGCCAAACAATATCTTGCATGTTATATTACTTTGTGAACTTAATAGTTTTTCTCAGTGAGATTGCTTGCCAGCTGTTTACTAAAAAGCTTTAGAAAAGTAGGGCAATTGAAACAACTGGTGAATTATTTTTACCCACCCTTTATTTATCACTTGTCAAGTCTCTTTAGAAATGATTTACTTTTCCACCATATGCAAAAGACAACAAAAAACCTATTTGCTGGACTTGAAAAAATATGTTGATAGATAGGTTTGATATCATATTATTTTATAATTTCAGGCAGCCAGTATTTATGTAGTTATACATGTTGTTTTTTATTATTAATTTAAAGTATTATTTATTTTTAAGTGCATCTTCCAGCACACTGGTAAGATCTGTAAATAATGACTTATAATTTTTTTGCACTAATTATGTGAAATGTTATTTTAATCTCATTCAAGGGAAGTTGAGAAGCACTTCAAACCTGATCACCAAGATGTGGCCAGTAGTTGCCTTTTAATTGTACAAGCCTTATAACTAGACTCGAGCAATATTTGCTGTAGATAAGAGACAATCACATCAAGATGCAAAGGCCACACTTGTACTTTTGAAAGAAATAATTTTTCATAAAAATGTTGCCTTATGCATTTGCTTCATTGTAATTAAGAATAATGGTCTTCCTGATGACAATTAATATTTATATGAACTGTACCATATCAAGAAGAATTTTGAGGTGTACTGATGTGCATGGTTGAAGTTTTGTAGTTTTTTTACTGTGAAGTATATTAAACAAATGCACATTTCATATAAAAAAACAATAAAAAGCTGAAATGTGAAACTAAAATGAGTATTTTTATTATAGTTTTCATGATAATGTACCCACCACCATAATGATATTTCTCTGAAATTAATAGATTTGTAATTTCAAATGGCACCAATGCAAATGAATTAAAAACTTCCAAAAGTATTAATAAATAAGACAGCAGAGATAATTTATAAGAAAATTGTAATATGACAAACTAAAATGTACTGACATAGTGGTTTCTTTAATATCACAAAGAATATCAGTTAAGTAAGCAGCAGCTATATCTTCAAAAATTGTTGCTGTAGATATACAAAATAAACCTCGGCATTGAAAAATAAAAAGACCCTTGGAATGCAGATCAATATTTAGCAAACAACCATAATTCTTCAACCCAGTATTTTGGTGAATTGACACAAATCTTATTAGAAAGAATAAGTTTGCTTAAAAAACATTACTTCCCAGAAATTGATTGAAATACATACTGACATCATTCTAATAACATTTGTCAGAAATATCAAATATTGCACAACCTTATTTTTATTAAGGGAAGATCAATTTGCACTTCAGTATCTTGGCATTGCTAGGTTTTTTAAAGTTGGTAATTCTATAATTTCTCCACCAGTTCTATCTATGGCAACTAAGTAACAAAAATATGCTAAGAAATAATTTAAATACACCACAACCAATGCTGTAATATACAGTTATTTTCTGACAATTCTGTATAATATAAAGTTTCAAATCTTCTCTTGTACAACAATATACAAAAATATGTTGTGCTACCAATAGAAAATGTCACCACTTGGCAGAGAGCCATCTACAGGTCAATGCCAGAAACTTGGAGATGCTGCAGGTTGTTACGAGCTGAAACAAAAACAATACATGAAACTGCAGCAATGAACATCAATGAACATTTCTTTACATAAAAAAAAGCTTCACAAAATTGATCAAGTTTTGCTGTTTTGCGGATTCAAGCCTATCGGCTAGAAAAGTGACAGCAATAAAAATTCAATATTTACAAAATATTTATTACACAAAAATGAAAATGTTATGGAGATTTTCATTAGAGCAAGTCATTACAAGTACTTGTCTTAAATGCTGAATTAGCCAGCAGTGGTCTAAATTTTGCAAAATCAAAATAGCTGGATAAATGGTCACTACAGATTAGAAAAAAAAAAAAAAAAAGATTATAAATATATACACAGCAAATCCTCATAAATGGGTATGCCTGTACCTTCAAAGTATGTAGTGTCCTGTTCATCATCTGGGGCTGGTACAAATGGAGGTTCTTGCTGCAACAAGTTTTCCCAGTCTATCCCAGCAAACAAGGGGTGCTCTTTCACTTCTGAAATAAACATGGACACATGAAGCTTCGAGTCACAAGACAGTCTCTTTATGACAAGGGGTAGATTTCCATTTGAATTCAAACAATTGGAAAATTGCACTCCTTTTTAAATATCTTTGTTGATTGTCAATATTATAAATGTGCTATTGGGTTGAAAATATAATGGCCTTAAGTTTTCTAAAAATACTTTTATGATTATACCTTTAGAGGTCAAACAGATATTTCAAATTATTTTCAGAGTTGCTGATTCTCTCTATATAAAGTTAAATTGATACAAAAATATTTCACTGAAAAATCAACTTATTATATGTGTTGCACTGACTTTAAATCCTTTTTTCACATTTAATTTTGAGTTACAAACCATTTGCTTTTGGTCTTTTATCAGGATCTGTATTCAGTAATGCATCAATGGCAGCATGTGCATTCTCTGAGAGAGCTTCTTCCTCCTCAGGCCATGGGATGTCTGAAATAATTTGATTGCAGTTTGAAAGATATCACTGTATGGTAAGGAAAACAAATTTTACAACAGGCACACATTTCCACAATAAATACATATAAAGAAGCCCATTTATGATATGCATAGTGTACACTTAATGAAATATAATACAGACAAAAATTGACACTTAATATCAAAGATGGTTTCTGAATAAAACAAAAGGCAATTCTAAAACAATGCCTAAGACCACCTACCTCTGTTAAGGATATTTTCAAACACCAGGTCAGGAGTTTGGTCATTGAAGGGAGGCACACCTGTAAGGAACTCAAACAAACACACACCTAAAGCCCACCAGTCCACAGCCACACCTGAAGAAATAATTGCAAACAGAATGTTTCTATACTTTCACTGAGAATCGGTCCAATACCTAATAAATATGTAACGAAATATTTGACAATGAGTATTTTATAAGCAAAAATGATACAAAGTGAGATTCTTTTTGGAATGCCACAATACAATAAGTATTAATAAGGTTTCAGTTCTTCTTTTCCATCCCTTAACAAAAAAAAAAAAAATTCTTTCTTCCCAAATTATATTTTCATTGGATATTTATGAAAGCTTATGCAGTAAAAATGGTAAAAGTGTTTCTTTTCCACCGTTATACCTACCATGCTTTTTCTGCAGCAATAGTTCAGGAGCAAGATAATCAGGAGTTCCCAGAATTCTCTGCTTCTCTTGTGCTGGGCCACGTCTAACACTTTTAGGAGTGCGAAAAGGTGGAAAACCTGGCTGCCCTGGAGTCATGAAAGAACCCTAAAATATACAAACAAATATTCATGCTGAAGATCAATCATACTATTTTTTTCTGTCATAATTTTCATACACTTTCAAAGTTTGAATATATCATTCTGAAGTTGTTTACTTAGTGAAGAAAGACATTTGACATACATTTCTAATATCACCATGCAAAATTTTTTTTAAATGTTGTTCTAAAACTTAAAGCAGCTTGATTACAAACATCCCTGTACAGATTTTTTTTAACCCTCTCAAGTCAAGAGAGAGGATACAAGGGTTACCCTTCTCAGTGCTGGTTTAGGTCTAGGAGTGTACATCATGGTGGAGTGTTTGCCAAACCCATCATCATCATCACTCCTGAAGTCTGGCACATCCAGAAAATGAGCATTCTTCTTCTTTGTGGATTTTTCTGTCATTGGACAGGTGTGCGGGCAGGGCTCAGAGTTACTTTCACATCTCTTCCTGGCAGGGTGTCCTTCTAAAATGGTAAAACATAAAATAAGAACACACACACATGCTCCCCATGTGCTCCCCAAGTATTTGCTTACTTTGTATCGATGACATGACAGAACCCTAAAATATAATATATGTAACAATTGTTCAGACTGAAGATCGATTCAAATAGCTTAGATTAACTCGCAACATACCTGGTTTGAAAAGTTTTGTAGCAGTAAGTTTAATAGGTACATCTAAAACTCTTAAATAACCAACATTTCACCAAAATTTACACTGAATTTTAAAAATTCACTAAGTTGTTCACACAATACTAGTTGTTAAAACTAAATGACCAACAACTGGAGTACACAATACAACATACTCACCTACAGGTTTCACCTCAATCTCCTTATCCTCTCCACTTGTCTCACCAGTCAACTTTTCCTCGGTGGACAACTCTTGAAAACTATGACTTAGATCGTGACTGGAGTCTAAATTGTGCTCCTCCTGTCCCTCAAGTTCTATACTTTCTGGTATTGACTGGGGGCTCAATACACCAACAGATTTGC